CATTTCTTTTAATATAATGTTCAGGACAGGGTGCTCCCTCTTGGTTCTCTGTGGCCACTCGTCTTCATCCTTTTTTGTTATTTCACCCAAAGACGAGAGCACACAGCCCAGAATTGAGAATGACGAGGGTGGGTTGTAAAAGGGGGTCTGGGAAGCCTGAAGGGCAGGACAAATAGTTTCCCTCTTGATCACTGAAGAGAAAAAGCATCAGATAGAAGGGAGTTAATGATTGTAGGCATGGTGACGCACGCCTGTAATCCCAGCACTCGGGAGGCTGAGGCAGGAGGATTGTTGCGAGTTCGAGGTCAGCCTGGGCTACAAAGTGAGCTCAAGGCCAGCCTGAACCTCATAGCGAGACCCTGTCTCAAAACTACAAAAAAAAAAACAAACAAACAAAAAATAAAACTGGGTTAATGAAAAAGAAAATACGTTCTTACTTTTTCTTTCAAAAACCAGCTGTGTCATCAAAGTTACTATTCTAAATGATTAAAAGTTCCAGAGCTCAAAAACCAAGGAACCCTCAGCATTTCAGGCAAGCCACCAAGTCTTAGTGTCCAACGCCTGTAACTAAATCCTGTGGGCCATAAACTCATGGAGCAGAAGGTGATCTGAGGTACTTAACGCCTAGAGTGGGAGGCAGAACTGGACCAAGAATGTGGCGATACCCGAGAAAAACAGAAGGGCACCAGTGGCTTATCTGAATAAATTAGGAGAAAATGACATAGGGCCTATGACACAGGATGATATATGGATCGCCAAATAATATAAGGGAAATATAACTCCCAACCTGCTAGATAGCTGAAATGCTGAATTCACATTCTCTAAAACTGAGGAATGAATTCTAGGAAAAAAAGTTAGACCAGGCATGGTAGTGCAAGCTTGTAATCCCAGCACATGGGATGCTGAGGCAGGAGGATTACCTGAACTATATAGTGGAACCCTCTCTCTAAAAAAAAAAGGAGGCAAGAAAAGAAAAACAAAGAATAAGAAGAGTTTACTGAGAAAAAGAAAGTTCTGTTTAAGAGAGACAGAAGAGGGCCCGGAAAGTAGGCTGCCCGTGGACTCTGCTTCTCAAGGGTGTTTTATTGAGCAAAGCCATGATGTGAGGCGGGTTCAAGGCGGGACAAAACTATGGTGAACCAATAAGATTACAGACGTGGTTGCTCAGGTAACATTGATCCAATGGGAAATCACAAGGTTGGGTGAGGTGGGACAAAACTATGGTGAATCAGTAAGATTACAAGTATAGTCACTTAGGTAATCAAATGGGGAAGCAAGTCTTCTAGCAAGGGCACAAGGACCGAACAAGGATTTTCCAGGAAGAATGGGCTAGGGAAGTTTTGTTCCCCCACCCAAGGTGATTGATGCCTATTTGGAATATCAGTCACTGCTGTACCTTCCTAGGGGAAGTCTGTGGGTGTGGTCCTTCCTTTTATTCTTTCTTTCTTTTTTTTCTTGTACCGGGAATCAAACTCAGGACCTTGCGCTTTTGCACTTCTGTCACTGAGCTATATCCCACCCCCTTCCTCTTGTTCTTTTCTTTTTTTCTTTTTTTTTTTTTTTGTCTTTTTGAGACAGGGTCTCACTATGTAGTTCAGACTGGCCTTGAGCTCACTTTGTAGTCCAGGCTGGCCTCGAACTCACAATGATCCTCCTGCCTCAGCCTCCTGAGTGCTGGGATTACAGGCATGTGCCACCACGCCCAGCCCTTCCTCTTGTTCTTGAAGCCTGGCTTTTAGTGACCGACCATCCAGCCCCAACTGTCTTCTGTGCTGAGGGCCTAGCCCCGTCTAACTGCCCTGATATTTATAACTAACTTAGCTGTCTACAGTGAAAAGACTAAAATGACTTGGCTACATGAGACACATGGTTAGGCATTGGTGTCTTCACTGAATCACTCCCGTCATCGATGTTTTTCGATGGTACTGTGCCAACCCACAGAGATATTAAAAATTAAATCTAAAACCTAGGCGTGGTACCTGGGAAAGTGGATGCGCCTTGAGACCACAATGTTAAGTGAAATAAATCAGGCACAGGAGCTTCAATATTGCATGGTTGCTCTTATATGAGAAACTCAAAGTATAAGTAAAGAGCAAAATAAAAGATGGATGATAGGAAGTAGGGAGGTAGAGCTCCCTCACACTCCACACACACATACACACACACATGCGCACAAGCCTAGGTGTGGTAGCGCACACCTGCAACCCCAGTATTCTAGAGGATGGAAGACTGCAAGTTGCCCAGGACTGCAAGTTGCCCAGCCTGGGCAACTTAGCAATGTAATGAGACCCTGTCTCACAATGATATAAATAAATAAATAAACAGGTGGGGTGGTGCAAGGCTGTAGTCCCAGCATTTGGGAGGCTGAGGCAGGAAGAACCTTGCAAGTTCAAGAACAGATTGGGGTACAAAGTGAGCTCCAGGCCAGCCTGAACCGCATAGCAAGACCCTGTCTCAAAAAGATAAAAAAATAAATAAATAAAGAGCTAGGTGTGTAGCTCAACGTGAAGGCCATGGGTTCATTCCCCAGTACTGAAAAAATAATTCAATACGAATTACAGAAATGGAGCCATTTCCAGAAAGAGCTCTCTTGTCTGAGTGCTGTGCTGAGGAAAAGGTTTGTTTGAAGGAATTCTAGAAGGACAGGGGAGAGGTAGCTAAGGAAAGAGCCAGCTGGGCTGATTGAATACTATGAGTTACCCAGATGAGACTGTTTTTGTTTGTTTGTTTGTTTGTTTTTTGTCTTTTCTTCCAGTACCAGGAATCGAACTCATGACCTTGCGCTTGCCAGGTAAGCATTTTTCCACTGAGCTAAATCCCCGGCCCCTACCCAGATGAGACTGTATATAGTTGAACCATGCTGTAGAACCTGATTCCTAAAAACAACCCCAGTGTGAGAGCTGGAGAATTTTCCCTGAGTCCTTGCTTGTCGGGTTTCCAACATTCCTGCTACCTGTGAAGCAGTTGGTGACCGAATCAGTGCTCCATTAGCTTTCAGCTGGGGTGAACAACTAAAGGCCAGGGATCACCCCAGCCCTGTGTTTCATTGTGAAGACAATGCCTAACAGCAGGCGAAGGAGCTCTTCAGACAATGTCATATAATATCTCAGATTTAGGGAGCAGGATGTAAATTTGCATCTTCTCCTGGGAGTGGTGGGGAGGCCTGTTGTTTCTTTGTTTTGTTTTGCTGAGAATTGAACCTATGGCCTCAGGCATGCTAAGCAAGATCTCTACCACTAAAGGTCACCTTCAGCTTACCCCTGAGTGCTCAGAATGTGTGCTGGTGGGTGTGGTGACGCGTACCTGTAATCACAGCGCTCAAGAGGCTCGGGCAGCCGGGGCTACCCTGAGTTCAAGGCCAGGCTGAGTCACACAGGAAGACCTTGTCTCACCCCTCCTCCCCACATATATATCTGGGGCAGGGGTAGATGTGAAAACACTGTATTTGCACAGCATCTGTAAGATATGTTATCTTTTTTTCTTTTTCTTGTATTGGAGTTTGAACCCAGGGCCTTCACTCTGAGCTACAGCCCCAGCCCATTTTTTTATGTTTAATTTTTTTTTTTTTTTTTTTTTGGTTTTTTTTCTCCTGTACCAGGAACCAAACTCACGACTTTGCGCTTGCCAGGCAGGCGCTTTGCCGCTGAGCTAAATCCCCAGCCCCTTTATGTTTAATTTTGAGACAAGGAGATCGCCCACATCAAAATCACAATCCACAATCTTCCTACCTCAATGTCCCCTGGTGCTGGGATTACAGCCGTCCACCACCACCACATCCAGCTTGGCATTGTTTTTTTTTTTTTTTTTTTTTTTTTCTTAAACACATTAGCATGTATTCCCCAGAACACCCCGGTCACTTTGCACTGTCATCGCTTAGATGGTGAGGTCAGCTTGTTAATTAATGCCTTCCTAAGGACCGTTCCCAGCAGCCGAGGAAACAGAGCCCTGCAGAGAATGTGGCTCAACCTCCAGTCACGTGCCCGAGTGGAGAGGAAAGGGGGGGTGTTTGTGGAAAAAGACAGGTTAAGCAATTTATTTTCAAGCGTGACATTTTTTTATTGACAGAATATCTCTCCAGGCGGCGTTCACATGCTTGGGACGGAGGCTTTTAACTTGGCAGTGCTGTTTAAGCAAACAAATCCACTCAGTCGAATGCAATGATTAACAGGAACTGAGAATAGACAGTCACAGCGCGGCGGGGAGAAGAGAGAAGAGACGGGGTTTGAAGTTCCAGGGCTGTGACCTGCAGAATGGTCACCTCACCCGCTGGGGACTTTGCTGAGGAAATAAGGGGGCGCCCCGGCACCTGGGAGTGGTTTTGTGTAGTAATAGGGATCCAGGGAGTGGGAGAACCGAGCGGGCATGGCAAACGCAAAGAAGCCACTTCAGAAATGTGTAAAAGAAAAGTGAAAACGCAACTTAACTGTAAATGAAGACCGAAGGGGAAGGGCGGAAAAAAAAAAGACAAAACATGCTAGCCACTGACAAGAGCCACGTTCGCCCTGTGGGAGCGGGGACACTAAGTTAAAGGCGCTGAAGTGCTGATCGTATCTCAGAAGACGGTCTGCTTGTTTCCTGGTTCTCACCATGGTCTCCTGTAAGTACTGTCTGTTCAGCTTGTCTCTGCTTAGTGCCCTGATTTTTGTGTTTATTTACAACAACAAGTTACAGGAGGACAGGCGTTTTCTGGGGGCCGCTCTGTTCAATGCTTCGCTCTTAGCAGAAGCCTGTGATGAGCTGCTTCAGGGGGAGGTTTTCCACCTAACGGAAAATGCATTGAAAACAACCCTCAATGAATCCACCTGTTCTGAGTACAGAGTCCAGAGTCACTACATAACCCAGACGCTCTCCCAAGAAGAAGCTGCCTTCCCTCTGGCCTTCACGATGACTGTCCACAAAGACTTTGGCACTTTTGAGAGACTCTTCAGGGCAATCTACATGCCGCAGAATGTCTACTGTGTGCACGTGGACAGGAAGGCTACAGCGACGTTCAGGCTCGAGGTGGAGCAATTGCTGAGCTGCTTCCCCAATGCCTTCCTGGCCTCCCGCACCGAGCCCGTGGTCTACGGTGGGATTTCCAGGCTCCAGGCAGACCTGAACTGCATGAGAGACCTAGTGGCCTCCAAAGTCCCGTGGAAGTACGTCATCAACACCTGCGGGCAGGATTTCCCACTGAAGACCAATAAGGAGATTGTCCAGTACCTGAAAGGATTTACAGGGAAGAACCTGACCCCCGGGGTGCTGCCCCCAGATCATGCCATCGGACGGACTAAGTACGTGCATCAAGAATTATTAGACAGCAAAAATTCGTACGTGCGCAAAACAGCACAGTTAAAATCCCCCCCTCCGCACAACATGACCATCTACTTTGGCACTGCCTATGTGGCCCTCACAAGAGAATTTGCTAACTTTGTCCTGCAAGACCAGCAAGCCCTGGACTTACTTTCCTGGTCCAAGGACACCTACAGCCCCGACGAACATTTCTGGGTGACTCTCAACAGGATTCCTGGTGAGTGTGTCTCTCTTTATTTTGTTGCTATTGTGTGAGAGACGGCTTCTCCATATGTTGCCCTGGCCTGCCTGGAATCCCCAGGCTCATGTGATCCTCGAGGGCAGAATGATTCCTATCTGCTTTTCATGAATGAACATGGTAGGGTCAACACTGAAAAAACTGCTTAAAAGATAGTAAGAAAACGTTTAACATTTCAAACCTCTTTACAGCTGCAGATGTTAATTTTAATAGGACATACTGATTTTTATTGATTTTATCTTGTATCTAAAATCATAATGGTATATATTGACGGGGTGTAGTGTGCTGTTGTGATATGCACCCAGCTTCCCATAGCTAAAGGAACGTTCTTCAGAGTAGAAGAAACAGTATAACAACTTAAATTTTTTCATTCTCAAGTTCTTTCCTGGAATTGAATCTGAAATTTGGAGCAGTTTAAGGGTTTCGAGCATCTTCATTTTGTAGATAAAGACACTCCCACATGGCTGGACCCGGTGCCCCGATCACCCGGCCTACAGACAAGTGTGTTGGTTAGGATCCCAGCCTCCAGAGCCTGGTTTTCTTCTTGCTCTGACTTTTTAATTAGGTCTCATTTGTCACTAAATTAATTCCACCGGTTCCAAATGATTTGAATAATCTCAAATTGTTTACAGGGAACTGATTCAGCAGCTAGTTCAACTCAAAATAAAAATTTAGACTCAAAGTTCAAGGGAAAAAAAATATTGGAGTCAATCAGAGGATCAAATTCACGGTTGCTTTAGACGGGTGATTCCACCCTGTATCTCTAACACACCCACGGCCAGGCCTGTTTCCTGGAGGGTCTCCTTTGTGGCTTTCCTTGCGGGGGATTCTCAGCGGAAGCCATTGCCAAGGCTTGTTTTATATGTGGATACACATCGCTTCCTAGACTATGATTGCTTTCTAAATCTGATTTTCTCAGAGCAGGAAGGAATGATGTGGCGGTCCAAAGAAGCAGGGTTTGTGAGGGGTGTGGTGGCGCACGCCTAGAATCCCAGCACTCTGGGAGGCTGAGGCGAGAAGATGGCAAGTTCGCACTCAGCCTGGGCAACTTAGCAACGTAGCAAGACATTGTCTCAAAATTAAAAGTAAAGTCTGGGGATGCAGCTCAGTGTGAAGGCTCTTTCAATCCCTAGCACAAAACAAAACAAAACAAAAAGAGGTAGGGTTTAAGAAAGTCAGTCAGTCCCCAATTTAAGGCTGTTTGAAAAGGATTAGAAGGGTCAAAAATCCTGGAAGTAAAAGCACTCCTCCTCTCGGGTGTGCTCCCTTACTTCCAACTGTGATGGAGATTATTCCATGTTCTGCTGCAGACTCTAAGGGGGCACAGCCACCAAGCAGGTTCCTAAGAGAGTAACCCCAAGGGAAATGGCCATTCTTTTTCCAAGAAAGGGTCAGAACAAACAAAAGCAATATTCAATCTGAAAAACTTGAAGAGTGTTAACTAAAAGATGGGTTGTGATTCCCACTCTTTGAGTAGGGCTGCTGCAAAGGTTTTTGCTGGTTTTATTTTATATATATATATATATATATATATATATATATATATATACAAAATGGAATAGTATTCAGCCTTGTGGTGGGTGGGACCAGCTCTAACTTTGAAATAAAAGTTTGGGGTAGTGGATGGGATGGAGCAGAATGCCTGCTGGGAAGAGGACGGCGGCTTCCTTAGTCAGTAGGAGCGCAGCCAGGAAGCAGCAGTCAGAAAAGTGTTTCTAAGAGGACTTTAGACTCTTTCACCCTAAGGGTCCATGCTTGTAGTCAGTTTCTTTCCAATTTATTGGTTCATTTGTTTTTTAGTTTTTTTATATTTTGGGGGTTTTTTTTGAGACAGGGTCTCACTATGCAGTTCAGGCTGGCCTTGAGCTCACTTTGTAGCCCGAGCTGGTCTCCAACTTGCAAAGATCCTCCTGCCTCAGCCTCCCAAGTGCTGGGATTACAGGTGTGCACCACCATGCCTGGCTTGAGGCAGTGTTTCACTGTGCAGTTCATGCTGGCCTTAAATTCACTTTGAAGCCCAAACTGGCCTCCTCCTGCCTCAGCCTCCCAAGTACTGGGATTACAGACCTATGAAACCACACCCACCTTGTAATCAAGTTCTTGAACAGAAAATTGAACGTTAGTACTGTGACTTTTCATCATGATTTATGTATTGGAACTGAATTTTTACACTATTGGTTAGCAATACATCCAGCAAAGCAATGGAAAACATTCACGGATTCATGAATTTTAAAAACCTGTAAGAGTTACCACCTGAAATGGTTTCCATGTCTAATGCATGAAGGATCCTTCCTTACTAACGGCCCCCATTGGTCCACTAACTCTTGCTACCCTGGGGCAGGCCTTCCTGGAAAGCCCACACTCAGGGGTTGGGGGCCCTGGGACAAGTGGTGACCTTGTTTAACGATTAATCCTCCTCTGTGAAAATCTTGTGGCGAGGGCTTTCCTAATTGGTGTGTGCAGATGCGGGCGCATTTTAAGATTTTTCTAGTTAATTCCAGTGATTGTAGGCTTATTATGATTCTCAAAGTGTTAGGGCCAGAAAAAAAATCTCACAGCAAAAATGGCGTACAGGGAGTTAGAACACTGGCTAAAAGAAATACGTGGCGGGCTGGGGATTTAGCTCAGCTGCACAGCGCCTGCCTGGCAAGCACAGGGTTGTGAGTTCGATTCCTGGTACCAGAAAAAAAAATTTTATTGGTATATTTTAAATATAAATAATGACAACATTCATCTTAGGGAATTTGATTTTTTTTTTCTGGTACCGGGAATCGAACTCATGACCTTGCACTTGCCAGGCAGGTGCTGTGCCACTGAGCTAAATCCCCAGCCCCATCTTAGGGAATTTGAAAGTGATGATGTCTTACTTTTTTTATTTCCCATTCTCCTATCCTTGCTTCAGTCCCTCTTCTATTTCCAAAAGCTTTGTTTCCATTTTTTTCTTCTCTTCTCTTTTTCTTATTGACGCTTTCAGTTTCTCACACCAGAGAAGCAATGCAGTATTTACACTTGTGTGTCAGATTTATTTCACCTGAAAGTATGGTCTCAAGGTGCATCCATTTAGCTAGCAATATCTCAAGCTTATCCTTCTTTATGGCAAAGTAGTACTCCATTGTATAAAAAAATCTTCTTTATCCATTCATTGGTTGATGGGCATTTGGGCTGTTCCCAAGATGTACCTGTTACAAACTGTGCAGCTGTAAATGTAGGAGTATATGTGTCCCTGTGGTACGATGCTTTTAGTTCTTCTGGGAAGATGATAGCCAGAAGGGGAATAGATGTGTCAAATGGAACCTCTAGTCCTAGCTTTTTGAGGAATCTCCACACTGATTTCCACAGTGATTGCACCAGTCTATACTCCCACCAGCAGTGAAGAAGGGTTCTTTTTTCCCTACATCCTCACCAGCATTTGTTATTGGTTGATTTCCTGATGATAGACATTCTTTCCGGGGTAAGATGGAATCTCAGCATTTTTTTTGTTTTGTTTTCCGGTACCAGGAATCGAACTCACGACCTTGTGCTTGCCAGGCAGGCGCTGTGCCACTGAGCTAAAATCTCAGCCCTCAGCATTGTTTTAATTTGCATCTCTTGAATGACTGGTGATATTGCACATTTTTTTCATATATTTATTTGCTGTTTCTACTTCTTAATCTGAAAAGTGTCCATTTCAGATGCCCATTTTTGAATTGGGTCTTTAAATTTGGGGGCTATGCTTTTTTTGAGTTCTTTATACTCTAGATATTAGTCCTTTGAGGAACAACTAGAAAAAAATTTTTCTTACACTGTGCGTTGTCTCTTCACTTTGTTGGTGGTTTTTTTTTGCTGTGCAAAAGCTTTTTAACAAGATGAGATCTCAGTTGTTGATTCTTTGGAGTATTTCCCATACAGTCTGGGTTTTGTTCATGAAGTCTCTGCCTACACCAAAATTTTCAAAAGTTCTACCAATTTAATCTTCCAGCAGACTTAGTGTTTCTGGTTTGTTTTTGTTTTTTTTTTTGGCATATGGGGGAATCGAACTCAAGACCTTATACTTGCCAGGCAGATGCTATGTCACTGAGCTATCTCCCTGCTCTCTGTTTTAATATTTTATTTATTTTTGAGGTAGGGTCTTGCTATGTAGTTCAGGCTGGCCTCCAACTCACAGCAATCCTCCTGCCTCAGCCTCCCAAGTGTTAGGATTACAGGCATTTTCCAGCACACCTGGCCTGTTTTAACATTTAGATCTTTGATCCATTTTGATTTCATTAGTGCATGGTGAAAGATATGGGTCTAGTTTTACTCTTTAGCATGTAGAAAGCCAATTTTTCCAGTACCATTTATTAAAGAGGCTATCTTTCTACCAGTGAATATGTTTGGTTCCTTTGTCAAAGATAAGGTAGTTGAGTATGTTTGAAGTTGTTTCTGCATTTTCTAATCTGTTCCATTGATTTGTGGGTCTGTGTTTTGTTTTGTTTTGCTTTATTTTTGCCAGTACTGTGCTGTTTTTCATCACAGTAGCTTTGTAGTATAATTTCTTTTTTTTTTTTTTATTTTAAAGAGTAAAAGAAGGATAACATAATAATGAGGGGGCTTACCAAATTACAGACGAAGTGGTAGGAAATTATCAATGGTTATTGTTTTACATATTGTTATCTATGAGATAGTTTCTCAGGAAAACAAATGGACAAATAATAGTTACAGACAGGGGCTGGGGATTTAGCTCAGCGGCAAAAGCGCCTGCCTGGCAAGCGCAAGGTCGTGAGTCCGGTTCCCGGTACCGGAGAAAAACCGAAAAACCAAAAAAAAGACAAAAGAAATAGTTACAGACAAAAGAGGTAGGAGATTATCAGTAGTTGTTGTACTATACTTTGGTATCTTCAAAGTGGCTTCTAAAGAAAATAAATAGAGCTATACATGAGTGACCTATTGAATAATCATTAACTTTTCTCAATGGTTGTTGTAGGAAACACATAATAATAAACATGCATCCATTTACAAAA